CTCTCTCTCTCTCTCTCTCTCTCTCTCTCTCTCTCTCTCTCTCTCTCTCTCTCTCTCTCTCTCTCTCTCTCTCTCTTGCGCGCGCGCGCGCGCGTACCTCAACAATAGAAGGAGAAGAAGAAGAAGAAGAGCTCCGAAAAGGAAAGGAAGGTGATGGAGGACAGGAAAGAGAAAGGAGGAAGACGAAGAAAGGAATCCTCTCTCTCTCTCTCTCTCTCTCTCTCTCTCTCTCTCTCTCTCTCTCTCTGTGTGTGTCTGATGTATCCAGGTACTGACCTGCGGAAAGGTGGATCCTTGATGCAGGTATGGACGTACTGAAGACGAAGATAGAGCGATGGCGCCACAAGTAAGTCGCCAGGTACATCCCCTGGCCTCTGCCAGCCTCAACTCCCTGGTCCCCTCTGTAGTGCTCTAGCCCAAGCTCGACTACTCTAACACAGCGCCCAGCGCTGGAAGACTACTCCCTGCCTCAGTGCTATTGTGCCCAGAGCGTCAACTACTGAAGACTACTGATGCTACCTCGGAACTACCTGCCTAGAATGAGGCTGGCCTAGCTATATATAATGTTGGGCCTAGTGTCCTAGGCCGAGTGGAACAGTCTGGTGAAAGGAAACTCGTCTGGCGCCAAGAGCAAGGATCAGTTTTAGCGCCAAAAGTAGGAATCTGGCAAAAGTACGAAAAGGTCTGGCGCCCAAAAGCAAGAGTCTGGCAAAAAGCTGCCAAAAGTAGGAACCTGGCAAAAATACGAAATTGTCTGGCGCCCAGAAGTAGGAGTCTGGCGAAAGATGCCAAAAGTAGGAACCTGGCAAAAAGATGACAAAACGAAATAGTGGCCTACTGGGTCCTACAGGGCCTAACATGGCCGAAATGAAACCCTATGAAACCCCTAACCCTATTGTCGAGCCCTGTGGGGCCTGTGCGGAACTGAGTATGCCACAAATATCGATTGGCCAACCGACCTGATCACCAGTGGACCGCCCCGGTCAACCCACCGATCAACTGACTCCACTGACCACCAACACCGGCCAACCAAGGAGAGACAGACCTGACCTAGCCACAGAGCAATCGATCCAACCTGCCCACCCGCCCCCCAACACAACTGACCCCGCCAACTGATCCAAAGACCCAGCCCACGAACTGATTGGATGACAGACCAAACTAACCAACAGATTAAAACAACCTGAATCAACAGAATACATGATGTGAACCACCAGTCACCCAGCCAAGCCAATCCAATTGACTGGCTGACCCAATTGACTGCCCACCTGACCTGACCGATCCAGTCGACAACTGGCCCACCGATGACCAACGGACCAGACGAACTGAACGACCCATTCGGTCAATCCAACGATCCCCGACCCCATCAACCCAACCACATGTTTGACAAGACCAGCTGACCGGTCCCACCTTTTCCTCGTGGGAGTTGTTTCCGTTCCTTACACATCCCACAGACGCTGGAGACTCTGCCTACCGATCAGCTCACAAGTCCCTCAGGGAATTTTCTTCTCTTCCCTCTCACCTTCCTTGTTTCATTCTTAGTGACAACTTTCATTCATTGATTGAGACAACAAAGTAGGCAGACATCCAAAAAGTTGGCAAACATCGCAATGACAAAAGCAGTGAGAATGAGAGGGGAAGAAGAACAAAAGGAAGAAAAATGAGAAAAAGTCTCAAAACGATAAGAACTGAAAGCAAAGAACAACCACCTCCTTTTTCCTTTCTTACAACGTCCTCCTCTTTTGGCGGTTTGCTTGTCATAGCACACCTTGTGGCAGAGAATACATCATCAAACTTCTTCTTCAGGACAGCAGCCTCAGCCAACGGCCAGTTTGCCTCATCTTGGTGGACAAAGATGACATTCTCAAGGATAGCTTTTGACACCCCCATCAGCTTTGGCACTTCCCTGTCTATATCAGCACACCTGTAGCTCATGCAAACTTTCTGCAACAGAAACGAGTACCAGCACCACATTAACCCAATCAGTCAGACAACAAAGCTATCTACAAAACAACGTCTCTCTCTCATCTCCATCCTACTCAGACCCCCATTAGTGGGGCTCTGCCACATTATGACTACGCTTCTATTTTGCATTATCTTGTTCCAAGAGGTGAGGCTGCCCCTTAGCCTACACATTTATCTGCAGTTGAAGAGATGTGGGGCTACCACATCAGTTAACATAGGGTCATGGTGAAACTTCATACATATACAAGCGGACGCCTGCTGCAGTAGAGATCGCAAATTAATGCTGACTTCATTGTAGGTCATACATGCAATCAACATACTGGATTGGCAAGGACCTGAGTTTGTTTTCTCAACATCGACTAGCAGGTGCTTCGCCAACTGAGAGAAATAGATACATATGGAGTTGGAAGGGGGGGTGAAAGGGGTGGGACATATTCACATGTAGTGATGTGAAATGTAATTGGATAGTTGTGCCAATCTTTGTCTATACTCTTTATAAAGGGAAGAGCGGGTCTCGCGTGACGCTGTCCCGCAACCGGTCTGTCTGTGTTGGGAAAGAGTTGGGCGGCAAGGCGCGGGCCCAACAGGAACTCCGCAAAATCGGAGGTTTTTTTTTGGGTCTGCCGTGCGCCGGTTCGAAGGGTGTCGCCGCGCGGTAGAAGCGTTTCGGAGCGCGGGTTTTTCTGGGCTGTAGTGTGGCGGTTGGAAGGGTGTCGCCCGGTGCAATTTTTTTTTTTGTCGTGCAAGTGTGTTTCCCCGTCATTTTTTCGTTGGGAAGCGGGCGGCGGGCAGCCGTTGTGCGAAGGAAAGAGATGTTCAACGGTTGGAATTCCATGTTCTAGCCGAAGATTCATTGGATGTTGCTCATCCTATCGATGGAAGTAGCATGGCGCG